TTGATTCAGTAAATGTAGTGATATCTCAACATATAAAAAGGATAGGAGGTTCTTATTTTATATTCTAGCTTGTCAAAATTGGGAATTTGTGTTCCAAATTCGTAAGAAACTATAGACTTTGTATTTGGACCTCACAAACATCTAATCTGAACCAGTGCTGCATTCAATATACCACGTGACATACAAAAATCTATATTTAGGTGTTTTTTTAATATTTACTTTTGAATTAAGACATTAACTTGTGTATAATACTAAAATTTGAATAATAATCCACAATTTGATACCAAACATATTGACATAGATACATGAAATAGTAGTTCAATATAATTTTGAATGTGATACAACAAATGCAATGACATGGCCTTTGACCCATGACGATATGGTTAAATCTACAGAAAGTGAAACTAAGGATAAGTGTGCTTGAAATAAATAAATTGAAGCTTTCTCTCTCACAAAAAAAAATTAAGATATTTTCAGAACAGAAGCATCCTTTTAGTTAAATGAGTATGTAGATCTTTGAAACTGGACAAAGCTATTGTCATAGTGAGGCTGAAGGGTTGTCCAGAATAAGGTGTAATAATAATTAAGATTATACATTTACAACTCTGATGTAATTAAAGATATTGATATAACACAGTTATTTGTTTCTAAGTTCTTGCACCTTCTTTAGTATTCTTCTGTTTGTAGCTATTTCCTTATCTAAAAAGCATTGCAGGATCTTGCCAAACAAGTCATCAGCGTGTTTTACCTTAACATTTGTTCATACATCGTCTTCTGTTTAATGAATCAGGCCATTACCTCTAAAATGGATTTCAAAAACAAAATACTGGATGAAATTATATGCAACTTGAGATGAATTTTATATAGATAGTGTAGCTTCTGCAAATAAAATATTTTTATATGATGTTTTTAGGAATTTACAGAAATTAGAAAAGATTTAATTGTTAAATGTTTTATTTAGAAACAGCTAAAAATTATTACCTTTGTTATATATTGTAAAGCTTTCTTATTTTATGAAATATGAATTTTTATCTTTGTTTTGAATTTGAAACTATGTACAGTTTCATTATGTTTATGAAAAAAATTCCTTTTTTTACTGTAAGACAAATTATAAGCAAGCCAAAATTTTTTAAATTATTAGCGAGCAAGTTTCATTTAATATGATATGTTTTAAACCACTTTTTTACATTACTTAAACTGATAAAATGTAATTTAAATATGGCCTTATAAACAGTGGTGTTCTTGGCTAAACAACTTGATACGGCATATTAAAAATTATATAGTTAACATTTTGTTCCATGAAAAACATTTACTTTTGTACTGCTAATCATATTTCAAATCAAGCATATTGCAGGCTTTTAGAAAACAAAAAATCAGCACTAATTTTGGCAGAAGTTGTTCACAGACATATTTCTTACAAGCAACACATTGCCAATTTTTTCACTTTTTGCCAATTTCTTCTTGAGTCTCTGCTATACTGGAGCCATAATAGGTTACACAGTCGAAAAAAAGATCTTTCATTATATGTTTAGATCAACACAGAGAAATGAAGATTAGCTAAAAAATCTATGCTTGTATTGAAGTTATAAGGCTCATTTTGTTCAAAACTATTTCAATTATCCTTCTATGGGTCTATGAGCATCATACTGTGCTCAGAAAAAAAAAATTGGGAATTCTCAAACACTGTTGTTTTATATATATATATATTCAATGGTCAGTTTTCCCCTGGGGTGCAGGATGTACATGTTTAAACATCATTGTGTTATGCTATCGTATCACTAGTTTTGTCACTTGGTATCCATTTTACCTATAATTAATAAACAATATAGATTTGTTCAGCATTTTTAGTTTGCATTGTAATATACTTATTTTATTCCATTTCAAATACTGCCAAGTGCAACTTGAGCACTATCCAGTCAGCTTCAGATATTCAGTTTGAACACGCAGTAATCATAACTAATCTATACTTCTTCTTACCTGTGTTATAATATATAAATTTCTCGTTCTAGTTATTCGATTTTGAATTAGCTAAAGAAGACATGGAGGAGATTGAAAACTTTGACAGAGGTTACAGATTTTGTCACCTCAACTGGTAAGTCATTGGTTGTAAACAGGATCTTACTGCAAAAATAATACTTTTAGTCAGATTTTTACAAATCTTTGAAGATTTTAGCTATCACAGACCAAGTTTCTCGTAATGAATGACTTAAATTTCTCAATTCATTGATTTCCCACACATGATAGCTGTGTGTAAGATAACTTACTTGTCTTTAGATATCTGAAAGTTATTGGTTATTTTAAATACCCTTTGATCCAGATAGAAGTTTATTTATGATACTCACCAAAGCTAGACAAGCTGGTAAACATTTTTACCCTCTCATTGTTGGATAGTTGTATCTAGACTTAACCCTATCATTGTTGGATAGTAGTATTTACACTTTACCCTCTCATCATTGGTTAATTGTATTTACTCGTAACCCTGTCATTGTTGGATAGTTGTATTAACACTTAACCCTCTCATCGTTGGATAATTGTGTTTACGCTTAACCATCTCATCATTGATTAATTGTATTTACACTTAACCCCCTCATTGTTGGATAGTAGTATTTACTCTTAACCCTCTCATTGTTGGATAGTAGTATTTACTCTTAACCCTCTCATTGTTGGATAGTAGTATTTACTCTTAACCCTCTCATTGTTGGATAGTAGTATTTACACTTAACCCTCTCATCATTGGATAGTTGTATTTACTCTTAACCCTCTCATCGTTGGATAGTAGTATTTACTTTTAACCCTCTCATCATTGGTTAATTGTTTTTACACTTAACCCTGTCATCATTGGTTAATTGTATTTACACTTAACCCTCTCATTGTTGGTTAGTTATATCTAGACTTAACCCTCTCATCATTGGATAGTTGTATTTACTCTTAACCCTCTCATCGTTGGATAGTAGTATTTACTTTTAACCCTCTCATCATTGGTTAATTATGTTTACACTTAGCCCTCTCATCATTGGTTAATTGTGTTTACACTTAACCCTGTCATCATTGATTAATTGTATTTACACTTAACCTTCTCATTGTTGGATAGTAGTATTTACACTTAACCATCTCATCGTTGGTTAGTTGTATTTACACTTAATCCTCTCATCATTGGTTAATTGTATTTACACTTAACCTTCTCATTGTTGGATAGTAGTATTTACACTTAACCATCTCATCGTTGGTTAGTTGTGTTTACACTTAATCCTATCATCATTGGTTAATTGTATTTACACTTAACCATCTCATTATTGATTAATTGTATTTACATTTAACCTTCTCATCGTTGGTCAGTTGTATTTACACTTAACCATCTCATCGTTGGTTAGTTGTATTTACACTTAACCATCTCATCGTTGGTTAGTTGTGTTTACACTTAACCCTTTCATCGTTGGTTAGTTGTATTTAATGTAAATCACACTTCTCCATTTGGTGCAGCCAAGCTGTACAGGAAGCTTGAAATAGTTCATGTAATAGATTTCATGTTGTATTTAAATAAGAAATGTTTACTTTCAAGAGTAATAGAACAGTAAGATTTTACAAAGAATTTCTAAGAAAATTAACAAAGTTTAAAGATGAATTTTTGTTGGTTTAAGTCTGAAAACCTTGAGTTTAATAAGCGACAAACTTCTATGTTTTTCTTCTTTTGGAAGTTTTGTATTGTTCACATCACATCCTTTAAATTTAATGTCGATTGATTGATATAATTCAAACCATTAAGACTTTTGTAATAACCTCCACCAGGAAAGTTGCCAAAACTATTCAATAAATTACATTAAATAACAATTTGTCTTAATTATGAAAGCAACAGGAAAACTGACCGCTGTGCCTTAGGTCATCAGATTGTTGTCCTTCCAGACTAGGACGGGCCTGTGTAGTGAATTATGAAGTAGAATTGTCACACGTAAAGCTTCGTGTATTAAAATCTATCTGATGTTTTAAATAACTATAACACGTATTGAATTCATTAAAATTAATACTCTAAATTGCATAAATACACATAAACTTGCGTCTGGTTTATCATGTGGCAAATTCTGGTTAGATGTCCACAGAACAGTAGCATGACCTGTGTATATAATACTAAAATAACTTGACTTTCTAACGTTTTTTATTTAATGTAAATGTGCAGTTATATTTCTTACCTTGCAGTTCCTAATTGGTGGTATGCTGATGATATTTGTAAAATAACCCCCCAGTGGGTGTAATACAAGTATGAGGACATATAATGCCAAAACTTGGGTTTTAATACTTGCAGTAGGTACAGCACATTGTGTAGTTTTGTGTTTAATGACAAAAGTATGTGATGGAAATCTGAAGTTTATCATTAATAAGAAACCTCAACTAGAGTTGTCTTTCCATCAATTTTCTTTGTGTAATTCTTTACCCACGTTTGTAACTGTTCAATATGCTTCTTTCCTATGAAGCCATATCTCTTAAATTCTTTTGTTATAGTTTGTATTCTGATGTAAGTATTTTTGCAATAAAATCAATTTCTCATTCTTTGATAAAATAGATTGATAAATATGTTCTTCAGCCTCTTTTTGTCACCTTTAAAGTTTTATAATTTTGGAGGGTGGAGACTATTCCATAAGAATGGTTTAGGCTATTAATAATAACTATAATATAACAATTTTTAATTAACTTAATTGTTTTATATATCTTCCTCTGATATTTGTTTTTTTTTTCAGGATGAAACATCACCCACATTATCCTTTCAAAGATGAATAATTGGAGATTAGTTTTTATGAAGAGATAATACATCTCAGTGTGACAGACTGTTTAACCAGATTGATGAACTGATTTTTATGGCATACCGTCTCTAATATGTTTTGTTTTCTGAATTGAGCACAACCTTTTTGTTGTTGTTGTTGTTGCCATTTCTTTTACTATGTTTATGTAGTAGGTGCTTAAATTTGTATATGTTCAACATATATGCACAGTTTGTGATTTAGTAATTATAATGAAGTTGATATGAGGAGATAGATACACTTTCCAATATAGCAGAGACACCTTCTGGCATATTATTTTGTTGCAATAAACTGTTTTAAACCACTGTTGGATGTGAATCTCAGTAGTACATCTCTTTACTAGAAATTCCAACGATCAATATTTATAAAAACAATTCGGATTCACAACTTTATACCATTAATATTTGTCAGGAGGTTGACTTCGTTGATTTTGTAATAATAAACGTTTCATCAAATTTTATTTAATAAATAAATAAACATTATTTAATAATAGTATTTGAGGGGGGATTTAAATTTTGCATTTTCAGATGTACACAGACAGCTAATTATTTTTAACTTGTATTTTAAATATAGTATATCATTCATTAACCTGAGATAGCTTTACTGTGAAATGTATCATACGTTGCTGTGACCTTCAATCATCTAATAATAATTTAATCTCTGGGACAAGCACGATCCCGTGGTTAGTAGGCTGGACTGTGGATTTGAGATTCCATGGTTTGACCACTCTTGCCACAAAAAGAAAATATCTCGCTCTGCACTTTGCAGCTGTCGCTGTGTTATGAGAGTGACTGTCAAGTCCAACTTTTTGGTCAGACAAGAGCAGGTGGTGTTGACCAGCTGCCTTCCCATTGGTCTATCACGTCAAAATTGGGGACGACTAATGCAAATACCTCTGGAGTAGCTCTGCATGAAAATCAACAAACAAACAAGTAATTTGATTTCTGGGTTGCCTTAAACTTTTCTACCTAATGTTTACCTTTTTTATCTCCTGGCATGGAAATACAGTTGGTTGCTCCTATAATCATTCTCAATTTTTCCTCTAAATGTAAACAGTATTTATCTTCTGGCAGGGAAATACAGTTGGTTGCTCCTATAATCATTCTCAACCTTTCATCTAAAGGTAAACATTATTTATCTCCTGACATGGAAATACAGTTGGTTGCTCCTATAATCATTCTCAACTTTTCATCTAAAGGTAAACATTATCTATCTCCTGGCATGGAAATACAGTTGGTTGCTCCTATAATCATTCTCAACCTTTTGTCTAAAGGTAAACATTATTTATCTCCTGACATGGAAATACAGTTGGTTGCTCCTATAATCATTCTCAACTTTTCATCTAAAGGT